GTAGGAGCCGAGACCAGGGGAGAGGAGCGCCAGCTCCGCAACGACGACAGTAATCGCAATCGGCGTAAATCCTAATCGCGCGCTACGCTCGTGATGATCCTTGCGTTCGATACCGCGCCTTGTCGCGCCTTCGAGACGTCTCCAGGCCGGGGGGAAACGGGCATCCGGGATAACGCTAATCCCGGTGTTCGGTTCCAGCGCCTTTACCGCGCGCCGCGCGCCCTCGAGACGTCTCGAGGCGCTTCACGGGATATACTGGTAAAGTGAATTGACTGTGTATTTTGGGGGCGTGCGACTGTTTCACTCACCCCCCACCCCACCCCACTGCCCCCCCCCCCCCCCCCCCCCAAACGCCTTTATCCAGTTGTTTCACGCGCCTGTGCAGAGTTGGCCTCCCTCCATCACTCCGGCAATATATAATAATCCTTTCGTTTGAGACACCGCCTTATCGCGTCGTTGAGACGTCCCAAAGCACTTCGCAGAAGACGCTGTGAAGCGGATTGACTGCGTACATTGCGGGCGAAACGTGGCGGCCGATTGCGCACAGCAGTGTCCCGCAAAACAGTTGCGGATTGAGTGACTAAATTAATATCATTATTTTTGTAGGCCGGGTTATATTGCCCAGGAGAGCGATATACCATGAGAAGCGCCTTATCACGTCGTCGAGGGTGTCTCAAAGAGGTGTCTCAAAGCGCTTCACGGAATATTATTGTAAAGGAGATTGACTGTCCATTTTGTGGGCAAAACATTCCTAAAATTTCACCCCTCCTCTCCCCAACACACACAGACACACACACACACACACACACACACACACACACACACACATCCCTACGTTGGAGATATCTTTTAATGTATTTTTTTTAACAGCAGATATTTCCCCCCCACCCCCGTTCCATTGAAGAGTTTGCGCTCTCTATCCTTTTTTTTTTGGACCCCGGGACGGACTGTCTGTATTTTTGCTGCTAAAGATTAAGAAAAAAAAAGGAGCAAAAATAATAACAATAATCCTTGCATTTGATAGATCCGTCTCAAAGCACTTTACAGAACGTAATGTGAAGCGGATCGACTGTGTATGTTGTGGGCGAATATTATTGATATTAATGACAATAATAATAATAATAATAATAATTTTGAGGGACACACAGACACACACACAGACACACACACCACTCTAAACGTTGTCGATTTGCACACAGCACAACGATGCAACACACGGTGTTTCCCGACTGTATACCAAAAATATCATTTTAATTTAATTTCAATCGACAAAAAAAAAAAAAAGAAGCCCTAAAGAAGCCCAACGTGTTGGGGTCAACATTTATTCGGTTGAAGGGGACTCTGAACAGTTTGAGTGTAATTTTACAGGGGGGGGGGGGGGGGGAGGGGGGGAACGAATGAACAAAACGAATGGGTTGAAATTCTCAAATCATCCCCTTTTCTGGTGTTTATTAACGGGTTAATCGGTGATAACGAGTGCTTTTTTGTTGAAAGGTGATTTATTTCCAATTGATTCCGAGGTCCCCACCACCCACCCACCCACCCACCCACTCCCCCTACACTGTGGGAAATTAATTTAAATACGAATATAAACTGGAGAGTAAATATAATATCCATAGAAACACGACTGTCAACATTCAGTCTGTTTTCCGGGGAATATTCGATTCGATGTGGGTCGGTTTGAAGTGCGATTTGAGCTGTTTCGGTCGACCAACAAATTCAGTTGATCGACAAAGAAATATTAAGTTCAGCTCAGTCCCAGTCTGGAGCTCTGCTCCCAGTCTGTGGGGGTGAAGGGGTCTGAAGGTCCGGAGGGTATGTTTTAGGGGTCTCTCTTCACTGTATTCAGTGTGTGTGTAAAAAAAAATCTCATCCAGATCTCTCCTCACGCACTCGCAATATTAAATACAATTTATTATTATTATTATTATTATTATTATTAATTATCATCGATATCATAAATCTCAGTGGGAGAAATTCCACCCGGGTCTGGGTCGAGATTTGCTCTATTTATGCAACGTACAATGTTGACCAAAAAGTCGTGATATTGACCCTATTATCTGGAGGAGAAAAAACAAAATATAATTTCTTTAAAGACACTGCAATGGTGATTGTGCGACGTATATTAGACACCGGGAATGGTATCACGACTTTGTGGTAACTCTGTAATGTTATATATTTGATATATTTGATATATTTGATATATATATATATTATAATCCTTGCATCCTTTCATTTTTGATACGTGCATATAATATACCAAGAGCTGTAACCCGTTGCATGTGTAATATGTATAATATATACGTTTTGGTATTATAAATGAACGTACAGACCATTCATGTTTAATTTAAATCTAATTAAATATGTAAGTATCTATAATATATAAGTATCTATGATGCATAAGTATACATTAGACGCACTTCACATGTAACATATTTCGCCCACAAAAAAATATACAGTCAATCTAATTTACAGTACAATCTGTCTCAATGACGTGAAAAATGCGCTAAATCAAATGCAACGATTATATACATATATATAAGATATATATATATATATTATATATAAATAGTATTATATTCCGAGCAATTGACCTGTCGCTGTATTCAGTCCAAACTTTCGAGCGGCTTTTTCTTTGGGAAAGCGGGTTTCACGTGTTAAGGTTTGCATTTAAAAAACAGTCAATATAAATACAATATTATTATGATTGTTATTATGACACAGAGTCAACCCGAGTCGTTCTGTGCCTGGTTATTATTAATAAACCCCCCCCCCCCTCCTCTTGGCCAAACGGTTGAGCTGCAAAGTCGTCGGAACATTAAATGCAATGTCAATCGTTCAAATAAATGCAACCGATTCACTCATCCAAAACTATGAAATGGGCATTAATTAAATATTAGGCAAAGCTCACGGTACATATATATAATATATATAATATATATAACGTATACATATCACGGCATATACACACATATATGACACATATAACATACGCATACTATAATATATATATATATATATCGCGGTATATGTATAATATATACAGTATATATATATATCACGTATATATATAATATATACAGTATATATATCACGATATATATAATATATACAGTATATATATCACGGTATATATATATAACATATACAGTATATATATACCGCGATATATATATATGATATATACAGTATATATATCACGGTATATATATATAATATATATACAGTATATATATATCACGGGATATATATATCACACACACACTACATTTAACACATTTAACAGGGTCTGATTTCCCCAGTTGTGCCCCTCGTCCACATTTCACATTTCGTACCTATGTATATCTCTGTGCAATCGAATAACAACTAAACGTCTTTAAATACCATTTGGTATTTATTCCCCCCCCACCACCCCCACCCCCACCCTCTCCTGCAAAGGTACCATTCAACCCGCTTTACCGTTTCCAATCCAAGATTGCGGTCTAAATAATAATGGTAATGATCATAGTCGCAATAACAGCGATAATAATAGTAATAATAATAATATTAATCCTTGCGTTTGACACAGCGCGTTATCGCGTCGTGGAGACGTCTCAAAGCGCTTCGCGGGAATATACCGTAAGGCATCAGTTGAGTATTTTTTTTTTGGGGGGGGGGGGGTGTTTTGTGGGCGAAAAAGATTTAGCAAAACGTGTACAGGTCAACGACCAAAAAAAAAAAAAACCCCCCACCACACAGAGGAAATGAAACGGTGCGTAAATTGTTCGGCGCAGTCTGTTGTTGCCTTTCATTTAAAATAAATGCAACGTGTGCATTTATATTCGGGATATGCATATACTTATACAGTATAGATATACGTTTGTATTTATATTTGCAGAAAACAGGGAGAGGGGGGGGGGGGGGGTGTTGTGGGGAGAGAGGGGGAAGAAAGAATTAAGCTGAGGGTTGTGGTGTTGTGAGTGTATTATGTGTGTGTGTGTGTGTGAGTGAGTGTATTATGTGTGTGTGTGAGTGTGAGTGTATTATGTGTGTGTGTGTGTATTATGTGTGTGTGTGTGAGTGTGAGTATATTATGTGTGTGTGTGTGTTGTGTGTGTGTGTGAGTGTATTGTGTGTGTGTGTGTATTGTGTGTGTGAGTGTGAGTGTATTATGTGTGTGTGTGAGTGTGAGTGTATTATGTGTGTGTGTGTGTGTGAGTATATTATGTGTGTGTGTGTGAGTGTATTATGTGTGTGTGTGTGTTGTGTGTGTGTGTGAGTGTATTGTGTGTGAGTGTATTATGTGTGTGTGTGAGTTGTGTGTGTGTGAGTGTATTATGTGTGTGTGTGTGTGTTGTGTGTGTTGTGTGTGTGTTGTGTGTGTGAGTGTATTGTGTGTGTGTGAGTATATTATGTGTGTGTGTGTGAGAGTGTATTATGTGTGTGTGTGAGTTGTGTGTGTGTGAGTGTATTATGTGTGTGTGTGTGTTGTGTGTGTTGTGTGTGTGTGTGTGTGTGTGTGTGAGTGTATTGTGTGTGAAGAGTTCAGGGCTTCTGGTTGTGTTGGGAAGGAGTTTCGATAGGTTTGTGCGGATGTTAGATCTGCCCGTGTTACAGAGAGAGAGACCCACAGGGGTGTGGGACAGACCCGGGTCATCTCACACAGACCCAACAGGTGTTACTGTGTGTGTGTTAGTGTGTGTGTGTGTGTTAGTGTGTTTGTGTGTGTTAGTTAGTGTGTTAGTGTGTGGGGGGGTTAGTGTGTGCGTTAGTTAGTGTGTGTGTGTTCGTGTGTGTGTGTTAGTTAGTGTGTTAGTGTGTGAGTGTATCAGTTAGTGTGTGCGTGTAAGTTAGTGTGTGTGTTAGTGTGTGCGTGTGTTAGTTGGTGTGTGCGTTCGTATGTGTGTTAGTTAGGTGTGTGTGTGTGTTAGTGTGTGTGTTCGTTAATGTGTGCGTGTGTTAGTTAGTGTGTGTGTGTTCGTGTGTGTGTGTGTTCGTTAATGTGTGTGTGTGTGTGTTAG